CGAGGTCACTGGCTTCTCTGAAATCAGGTGCCCACCCTGGTTTAGTTAGTGGCTTCCTCTCCTCTTGAGGAACAGCGGAGGGCTGCCTCTCTGAGCACCAGGAAATGGGGTGTACTCTTCTTTAGATGGAGGAGAAAGCAAACGTGACTGTATGTGTTTCACGCGCTGTAAGAGAGTGGTTCACATACCATCGTGTGTCAAAATCTCCCCTGGGCCTCATTTACTTCAGTTTTCTCTTTGGCTTAACCTCCTTCCTCTAACCTCCTTCACAGATAGCTTTCTTTCTTTTTCTTCTTTTTCCTCCCCTTTACTGAAGTATATAACATGCATTCAGCAGAGTACACAAATCTCAAGGAAACTGCCTGATGAATTTGAACATATGTATATGTAAGTGAAACCACTATCAGCTCAAGCTGCAGAACATTTTCAGCTGCCAGAAGGCTCTATCTTTCCTCCCTGCTCATGTCTGTGTCTTTGCTGTTTCTTGTGCCCTAATACTTTTCCTCCAAGTAAACATATGGCTCATTTCTCAGCTCCTTCGAGTCTCAAATGTCAACTTCTCAATGGGGCCTGATCACCCTATTTGAAATGACAGTACCCTTCACATCCTCCATCTTCCTTCCCTATTCTATTTTTCCCCTTATCCCTTCCTAATGGGTTACATGATGTATGTTTGTGTGTATATACACACATGCATACATACACATATGTACATACACATATACATAAACGTATAGCCTGCTGCTTCCCACTGCAATGTAAGTTCCATAAGCATAGCAATTTTGACTATTCTGACACTTCCATGCCATAATACTTACATGTCTGGCCCATAATGAGTCCTCAGTAATCCCTTGTTGAATGAAGACTTTAGTTATTGAGGCTATAAAGGTTGTAATGAGACAATCTGGTCTACAGCTGTCTAAAACCCTAAATGAAGGTCATTCCTGCACTGCTCTTCTAACTCAGGTATAACTCCCCATTACTTAGGTCTCCTGAAGTCTCTGTTCATTGCACCTCAAGATCTAGCAGAAAGAAATGAGCACGAAGATGCTGTAAGAACAGCTCTCAGATGGGCAGTGCCCTGGCTGCAGCACGTGAACAAGCAAGAGAATCTCTCCACCCAGCATGTAGTAGAGCCATGGTTTGTAGGGTGTAAGCAGTCACTTACCCTATCACAGCTGAGCTCCAGGAGGTGGTTGATGTGCCCATTAGTATTAAATGCCTGGGGAACTTAGGTGCTACTGCTTTATACAAGTTCAATGGGTTAGAGGATGTAAAGATAGTAAATTGGTCAAGTACTTTTTACGGTGCATCAGGAAAGCAACAAATATTGGTCTCATGTTGCTGGCTGGAAGCAGTTAAGGAAACACATTCTACCAAAAAGCACTGGTGAAACACAGGTTTAGAAATTGATTAGACGTACAGTCAAACTATAGCATCACCTAAACTCTCACTCAGGATGGGCATCCATGAACACAATTTAGGTCCTGTTTGATAAAGACTGGAATCCTGGAGATTGGAATAGGAGTAGGTGGGAAGAGTCCAAGGACCCAAGGATACTGGCCTATTTGAAGCACTTCTCTCCCACCCCAGCATAATCTGTGACCAAGGTCCAAAGATGACTTGGGCCTAAGGACAGTAGTCAAAGATTATAGAGGGAAGAGATCAATTATACCCTAAATGAACTGTAGTAATTATCCATGCTATACTAGGAAGAGTCAGGAAGCATGATACACAGACTAACATGTGCTTGACAAGGGACTGCGGTACCAATGTGGATCATGCAGAATTGGTTGCTATGGTACGGACTCATCTGGAGACTGTTCAATATGTTACAGCAGGATGACACTAAAGTGGTTTGTTGGGTTGGCTGATTTAGACCTCAGCCTAGCACTAGCCTGTGCTGTCTGGCAAGGATGGTGGCTGTTAGTAAGAAGGCACACAGGGAGAAGGAGAGCCTAAGAAAATGGCAGGAACTCAGACTCTCTAAGCACTCGTGTTGCTGAGGGCACTACAGGATAACACGGTCCTGTAGAACTAACTGCCTTAAATGCTGAAAAGTAGCATTCCCTGGGTTTTTGTGAGATTCTTCTTCCTTACTACCATGTGTATCCTCATTAAAAACAAAACATTACTCAAGATAGTGCATGGTCACAATCTGTCTGTTGGAGCCAGAAAAGCTTCACTGAGACAGGAAAGGAGCCTGTGCAGAAGGAGAAGGGTGGGACCCTCAGCTGTCTGTTCTTACCGATTACTCTTCTGAAAATTTTCCAACTTAGTTCTGAAACACAGTGTTCTTATAGTTCTTTTCTTTCCTAGAATAATTCATGACCTATGGAGCTGAAGGGAAACTAGAGCTCATTCAGCACATGAACAAGAGGAGCAAATGGAGGCCCATTGAGAGATTGCCTTCTTACTCCATTTCCTTCAGCGATTCTTTCCCTACCATTTAACTGAGAATGTTCTCAAATCATCTGCCTCCTTTCTCTCTCTAGACTCATAATTTCAGCCTTCAATTATACACAGATCTGCTCTGAAATTTTTATCTCAAGTGCTAAATTCCCCGCCCCCCAATATTAGACTCTCAATCACTTGTGGAATGTATATCTCCAAGTTTCACCACTGCCTGAAACTCAATATGGTTAAAAGAGATCATGTCCTTTTCCCCCTCCCACTTTCTGCATTATTGTCATTAGCATTATCATTCTTTTAAAAAAAGTTCCTTGTCTTAAACTGCTTTTTCATTTAAAATATTCTGATCATGCAAAAACTATAAAGAATAGGGGCACCTGGGTGGCTTAGTCAGTTAGGTGTCTTTGGTTCAGGTGATGATCCTGGGGTTCTGGATGGAGCTGAGCCCCGTGTCAGGCTCCCTGCTCACCTGGGAAGCTGCTTCTCCCTCTGCCCCTCCCCACCACTCATGTTTGGTCTTACTTTCTCTTTCTCTCAAATAAATAAAATCTTTAAAAAAAGATATAAAGAATAAAATAACAAAGACTCATGTTTTTACAATGGACACTTAATATTATGCCATATTTGTTTCAGACTCAAAAACATTTTTATAGATATGGTTGGAAGTCCCCTATCCCATTCAATCTGGTCTCTCCTAAGAGGCAGCCACTCCTCCAAAGTTGGTCCCCCTCAAAAGCAGACCCGGAGATAAAGAATGATAAATATACAGAGTGATTTGGGAGGTTCAGGGACACTGGCAAGGGTGTGGGGAGGTGCTTTGGGGATGGGAAGACAGAGAACAGGGCCCAGTGTTAAACCAGCTACCACAGTGGGCAGCTACAGGCAAAGTGGGTTCTGGCAGCGTAAGCCCAGCCTTTTGTCAGGGATGTTGGCTGACAGAAATTAGGCTGATGTACACAGAAATGATAAGGGAATATAGGGGGACATGGGCAGAGTACTGGTAGCAACTGTGATAGTGTGTACCCACTCTATTGACATTGCTTAGTTTTACTGCAACTGTTAAACATTGTTAATCTTTATATTATATGATATAATTAATAACACAAACAACAATGCTGATGTTGAAGGGGAATGGTGACTATAAATACACAACACTCAACACGAAAAAGGATAGTAGTTTGGGGAAATAACTTTGGTTCAAAGAGTTGTTTAGCTATTTATTGAATTTGTATCAAGTGCTTTGATTGATCTTCCTTTAATAGAAAATAAAGAGATAAAACATGGGCCACAATTTATTTTTTGTTTGGTTCTACACTTCATTTGACTTTGACAAAATCTAATTTTCTCCCGTATCTTTCTTCATCTCCTACTTTAAGATTGCAGTTATTAGGCTTAAACTATGATTGATATATGAGATTACAAGCGTTTGCTAAGAAGGCTATATACAATCAAGAATGTCTTAGAATATAATTTTCTTCTTTGCTGCAATCCATTAGCCTTTCTATTGAAAGGGAGAAAGATGCATGTGTGTGTACATGGTGGGGAGGGGGAGTGTAATGGAGACAAATTTCAACCTCATAATCAACCCTGCAGTGATGCTCTAAATCATTTAGCAAAGCCAGGAATAGTCTGTCTTCTTTGTACCCCCCAACCAATAGGACTCTTGATTTAACAACATAAAACTACAAAACAATATGTTTCCTATTTCCTTTTGCAGAGACCAAAAGGACTTAAAATAATCTTTAAATAATACTCCTCATAGATTCTATTATTGGACAAACAGATCTCTCTCCTTAGGAACTAGCAGACAGAAAAATCACCCCACACTCAAAAAGATCTAGTCATCAGCAGGATCTTTCTGAAGAATTAGAACAGTCACTTGTAAAGCAGACCACATACAGCAGGAGAAAAATTAAAAAAAAAATCTCATATTGAGATTCAAGGATGTATCCACCAAATTTCATATTTCAAATGAGAAATGATTACAGAACTTGAAAACCCCATGGAGAACAACTGAGTGGGTTTAGATCAGAGGCAAAACATACTGGTGAAAAGAACTTCTGGAAACAGCATACATTTTACATCTGAAAGAAAGGTAATGTTTTCATAAAGTAATTCTCTACTGTTTTTCTACCTAATTCCATTTCCCTATAAAAACAAACCTCTTGAAAACAAATAAGAAAATACATTATGTGCTACACTACTTAAGCAGTAAGAAGACAAAGAATAGAGAAGGGTCATTGCAGAGTCCTTATGCTTGTTTTTTAAACTGCCTTCATTAATCTATTGGAAACTTTGCCCTCCCTCTCCTTCTTCTTCTTCTTTTTTTTTTAAAAGTATTCTCCATACCCAACATGTGGTTTGAATCAAGGGTTGCATGATTTACAGACTGAGCCAGCCAGGTGCCCCTGGATCCTGCTCATAGAAAATTGTACATTTGTACAAAACATAAAACTGGCATAAAATTTCAGGAATTCATGGTCTCCTTAAAGCCCCAAAGGTTGTAGTGATCAGTCTATTGACCCATTAGTGGTCCAGGAACACCAGGTTAAGAATTCTTTATTCAGAAAAAGGCAGAGAACACTTACATTGTATAGAGGAATAGTCTTCATCACCTTGTACTGTTTAGTGGGATCCATCTTATACAGGTGACGATCGGTGACAAAAATTGCTCGGTCTTCCACCTTACTAAATCGATTCACCTATAAGAAAACAAACTAATAAGCCACTCATATTGCAACAAGAATGAAATCAAATGATCTACCAGGAAATTATCTATCTAGGGGGAGAGATGGCTGGTTGTGGAGACACATTCTTTAACAGATATGCATCATGCAAGGCCCATTCTACAGGATGAACAAAGATCTTAAAGGCCTAGCAGTTTCCAGATTTGTAGAATTTTATAATTAAATTTCACAATTTTTTAATTTAGCAGAGAAAATGTGAAAAACATGTAAGAATTAAAGGACTAAAAACATGTGACCCAGACACTATAAAGAAAATGCAAAGACAATCCAGGGAATAAGGAGAAAATGTTTTGCAAATCACATTTCTGATAAGGAACTTGTATCTCTAAAAGGATAGAACATATATTGTATCTAGAATATATAACTCAATAATAAAAAGACAAAAAAATGGGTAAAGAATTTGGACAGACATTTCTTCAGAGAAGATATACAAATGGCCAGTAAGCACATGAAAAGATGCTTGACATCATTAGCCAACAAGAAAATGTCCAGAACCACAGGGAGATACAAGTTCACCCCCACTGGCATGACAATAATAAAAAAGACAGACAGTAACAAATGTTGGCCAGGATGTAGAGAAATTGGAACCCTCATCCCTAATGGTGGGAATGTAAAATGATGCAGTTGCTTTGGAAAATGGTCTGGCAGCTCCTCAAATGGTTAAATACAGAATTACCATATGACCCAGAAATCCCACCCATAGGTATATACACAAGGGAACTGAAAACATATTCACACAAAAACTTGTGCATGAATGTGCACAGCATTAATCATGATAGCTAAAAAGAAGAAACAACCTGGGGCATGTGGGTGGCTCAGTGGTTGAGCATCTGCCTTTAGCTCAGGGCATGATCCCGGGGTCCTGGGATCAAGTCCCACATTGGGCTCCCTGCAAGGAGCCTGCTTCTCCCTCTGCCTATGTCTCTGCCTCTGTGTGTGTGTGTCTCTCATGAATAAATAAAATCTTAAAAAAAAAAAGAAAAGAAAAATGAGAAACAACCTAAATGTTCATCAAATAACAAATGGATAAATAAAATAGGATATAGGGACCCCTGGGTGGCTCAATGGTTAAGCGTCTGCCTTTGGCTCAGGGCGTGATCCTGGAGTCCCAGGAAGAGTCCCACATCAGGCTCCCTGCATGGAGCCTGCTTCTCTCTCTCTCCGTGTCTCTCATGAATGAATGAATGAATGAATGAATGAATGAATGAATAAATAAATAAATAAATAAGTAAATAAATAAAAATCTTAAAATAAAATAGGATATATTCACAATATGGAATATAATTTGTCTATCAAAAGAAATAAGTATTGATACATGTCATAACATGGATGAACCTTAAAAACATGATGCTATGTAAAAGAAACCAGTCCCAGAGGACCACATATTGCATGACTTCATTTACATGGAATGTCCAGAATAAGCAAATCTGTAGAAACAGAAAATATATTATTGGTTGCCTATGGCGGGGGAGGGGAGGTGGAGGGTTTGGAAGGATGACAGCTAAGGGGTAGGGGGCTTCTTTTTGAAAGCTGATTATGGTAATGGATATACAATTCTGTGAATACACTAAAAGCCAATGAATTGTATACTTTAAAATGGTGAATAGTATGGTATGTGATTATACCTCAATAAAGCTGTAAAAAAAATAAGACCTATTTGAAGATAACTCATTTTGCCCCTTCCTATTTCAATGGGTAGGCATATTTCAGACCAAATTCCCTATAGAATAATGAGTATGTCATTAAATCTACATGGTCAAAAATGGACAGTGCCTTCCTAGTGCCTATGGCACAAATGCCCCATAATTACTACTATTCAAAACAAGAGTGGGTCACATGGAAAGGGCAGCAAATGCACCCCGAAGAAACGCAGTAGATGCCTGATGTGGGTGTGGTAGAGGGGGGTTCCTGCTTTGAGTACAAAGACTAGAGGTTTCCAAGGTCCACTGCCACTCAGATTCCAGGATTCCTTTTTCTAACTTTCAAGAGTTTTTCTATCTGCCACTATTCTCCTTTTCATTTATTTTATTTTATTTTTTTATTTTTAAGATTTTTTAAAAGTAATCTTTATATCCAATGTGAGGCTTGAACTCATGACCCCAAGATTAAGAATCATACGCTGTACTCACTGAGCCAGCTAAGTGCCCCACTATTCTCCTTTTTAAACTTTATTTCTTTAAGGGCTCTGTTCCTTCTGACAGGCTTCTTCATGTTATTCTCTCTTTTAAATGTTCATGGTTTCTACTCTCTTCTTTTTATCTCTCTATATTTTAAGATATTGCTTAAATTCTCATTCCATTATAAAACTGCTACAATTTCTAAAGTAAAAATATGAACACTCTCTTCTATTACACAGTTGTAGAGGGAATATATAGGATCCATATAGAGTTAAGAATGAAATAAAAAAATTAATATCACAACCAAAGGGCACAGAGTTTTTCTTTCAAAGCAGGATAGTTGAGAATATGATGAGCTATTGGCTTAAGTGCTTTTGCTAACATAAAAGACTAGATTCTTCTCCCAAAGGCTTTTTTTAAAAATGAAAGACAGACAAGGCAGGTTTGCTGATGTTTATAAATTCTAAGACAATAAAGTTAAATCTATCCTTAGTCTGTACCTTCTCATTGTGAAATTTAGTTATTATCTTACTTCTCTACAAAAAGGGCAAAAATTTTCATTTAGTAGTTGTAAAGTTTTAATAATTTCAAGGACACTTGTAAGTTTTAGACTGTGAATGCTTGTTAGAACATACTTGATAAAACAGCTATGTAGAACAACGTGTTTTTAAACTTGTAGTTGAAGCTCTGTTCGGCATAGGACGTTCTACTTGTGAATCTTGTGATAGTCTACTATAACCTCACAAACGTAGATCTAAGTAACTCAGCCACTATAAAAGATTACACAGATTATCTGAAGATTGGAAATATATGAAAAAGCTGCTTTCCTTGTAAAATGGCCACAAATATGTTACCAAAATAGTGACAAATAAAATTTAGACATTTACTTGAAAACAAAGTAAAAACATAACTATATGATTTTTTTTAAATGAAGGTCAAGAAATAGCAAAACTATTTTACAGTAAAGGCAATCAGAAGAGTGGTTGCCTTTGGGGTGGTAGGGCTTGGCTGGGAAGGGGTGTGAGTGATTTCCATTACAGAGTGATGGAAATGTTCTATCTGGATAGTGTTGTGATTTACATGACTGTTCACACTAGTCAAAACTCACTGAACTGTATACTTCAAATCTGCGTATCTACTTATATATCAATACAAGTACATAAGCAAAACACTGTAACATCTCAAATATCCAGGGCAGATTCATATTTACTGCCTTATTATTTCACAGACAATAATTCTGTCTTCCAGCCAGACTGGAAGTTCCTTGAGGGTCATTATCATATGGTGGTTTTCTTTGTATACCTCACAGCAGCCAGTACAGAATTGGGCAAATAGCATTTACTATATCCTGCTGATCAGCTGGTTTTTAGAGCACTTTTAATCTGGCAGGATAATTTTAAGAGGTGTTCTTCCCCACATGAGCCAATCAGTGTTGATGATAGGAGCTGTCAGGCTGGAAAACAGAGTGGCACATTGGGGAGGTTACATAATGTGCAAAAAAATTTCCCAAGCAGCAAATGAAAGCACTTTTGCTCAATAGCTTAAGTCCCATTGCCCAGTGGGTCTTGGAAAACCTTCATTTCTGTACTGAAGAAAGAGGAACTGAGGACTCTTGCTTTGCTGTTTTTGAAGCTGGAAAACTATCAGCAAGTTAGCTCTTTAATAAAAAGCTCCCTAACATAGCATGCTCTATAAAAGCACATGGATTGCTCATCTGGAATTATTTATTCTTTTGGTTGGAACAGTTGAGATTTATTTGTATATTTTATTATATCTCATAAAGACTCTTTTCCAAGAGTTAATTTATCCCTTCAGAGTCTATATTTCTGGAGGGCAAGACCTTTACCAGCAGCCATAACTACAATACTCTGTACACAGAATGCTTACAGGCCAGATGAACCATCCTGAGTGGATCTAGGAGAAATATTTGTGTCTATACTTGCAACACTGTAATTCTTGGTTGGAGCTACCCTTATAAAATCTTTGGACTCACACTTTCACTGAGAAAAGGGGCTTTCCACAATTAGTTATCTAAAAATGTTATTGAATTATTTTTTCCTACATTTTAAAATCCAGCACATAACTCCTATTAATTAGAAAAAATTTACTGATAAGCATTTCCTTAAATTAAATGATTTGAGGGGACCCCTGGGTGGCACAGCAGTTTGGCGCCTGCCTTCAGCCCAGGGCATAATCCTGGAGTCCCGGGATCAAGTCCCACATCAGGCTCTCTGCATGGAGCCTGCTTCTCCCTCTGCCTGTGTCTCTGCCTCTCTCTCTCTCTCTCTGTGTCTCTCGTGGATAAGTAAATAAAATCTTAAAAAAAAAAATCACATTTCCTGCATTTAAAAAAATTAAATAATTTGATAATTTTTTTTGAAAATTACAGTGTGCACTTTTAAGCACTTTATATGCTGCTGATGATATACAAAGGAATGATATGAAGCCCTTGGTTATAATAAGAACCTGAGACTAGCAGATGGGGTTGAGATAAGTAAGAAACTAATGTGAAAATAATTTCATATAAAGGTAAACATAAAGAAAATAAATGGGGTCGGTAGAAAATGTACTTGTGATTCTGTAAAGTGCTACTTTATGAGAGAGTCAGAGAATGCCCAATTTGTAGGTCAATCTTTCCCTAACAGGCAGAATTAACCACAGGACATTTTATACATAAGGAATTAATTACATGCTAATTGGGATGTTTCAGTTTGGATAATACTGAAATCAAAACTGAGCACAAAAAATTCCTGAGCAACTATAATGTCATGTTTCTCAATGACTAGAAGGAAAAGCAAAGCAAAGTAAAACAATAAAGAACACTAAAACCTGTCCCCTAAGTAAAACAGAAGGCACACCTGTGATAATATATCCCCCCATCCCTGCTCCCCAGATCTTACTTTCAAGATGTAAATAAAGAAGTTAGAGATTAATTTGAACACACTATTACCTTTGGTAGGATATACAGCTAACTAAATTAGGATAGGGAAGATAGGACACAGGAGGGTATACTGCTATAGGTAGGAGAGCCAACTAAAATTTAGGTTTTGAGCTGTCTTCTCCCTTATAGTTTTAGAAATCCACCAATTTGCCAAACATTTTTTTATAACCAAAACATATTTTTCAGTTTTCAACATGACAAAATGGTATCTGTAATTAAGAGTAGTTTCTATGTGGTAAAAGAATAATTACTGTTGGTAGTAATTATTTACCTCACATGATTTTTGCCATAAGAGGGATTTGGCCCTTGTTGGAAGACCTGAAACAGAGTGACTGCAGAGCTCCTATATTAGCATTTTTCTAAGTCGTTCTGCACAACACCAGCCTCATGTGATGCTTTGTGAAAAAAAGGGTTCCAAGTCAGGTTGGTTGGAGGAACATTGCAGATCACAGCCTCCCCTAGGATATTCATAACCCGTGAATATATTAAAGGTTCTGAGAATTTTGCACTTAAAGAGCATATTTAAACTGCTTAACCCCGTATTTCCCACATATGATACAAGGAATCCTTTTTAAAAACAAATTAATACATTCAACAGAACACTGGTTTATGAAACCCATGTTGGAGAACACTAACCATTTGTGCCCATCTTAGAGTATGGAGACTAGACAGTATCTAAAGTGGAACATGAATAATAAGTAAAAGCAGTGTTCCTCATCTTTGGCAAAATCATATTGAAAAATATATGTGTGTTGCACAAGAGTATGAAAAAAGAAAAGCTTGTTGCATAATTTCACGAGGTCACACAAGAGTCAAAAAAAACAGGCCAGCCACAGTGGTAAAGTAGAGAGTACTTTCCTTTTTGTGATATGTCCGTGAGTTTTCTATTTTGTTTTTAAAGATTTTATTTATTTATTTATTTGAGAGACAGAGAGAGAGAGAGAGAGAAAGAGAGAGCAAGCACAAATGGGGTGAGGGGCAAAGGGAGATTCAGACTGCCAGCTGAGCAGGGAGCCTGATATGGGGCTTGATCCCAGGACTCTGGGATCATGACCTGAGCTGAAGGCAAATGCTTAACCATCTGAGCCACCCAGGTGCCCTGTCTATGAGTTAACTTGGAAACCAAAAGACAAAAACCTTAAAGCAGCAATTTTATTGAAGTGCTGTTAAGACATACTGCATTCCTTTTTATATAAAAACGTAGTTTGTAATGAGAACAGGTCATAAATCTTTACCTTGTGTTTTAGCAACTCAAATCATCCTTAAAACAGATCAAGTGAGTGGGAAGGACATGATGTACCAAAGAGAGAGCTTTAAGTTGCGTAACTTAGCAGAATCAAGATGGCAAGGAGAAAATTTTAACATATATAAATAAATTTGTAAATTCAAACTTAATTAAAATAATTATGGCATAGGAGCACTGTTTTCCTTTCTCATAAATTCATGCAGTAATAGAAAAGTTGGATCACAGATTCAGTATTAGATGAAATCTCATCTTATTTCTTCTATCACCCATGCTAAAATACTCAACCAAAGAAAACTCCTTATCACCTTGCTTTTGCCCTAACCCTTCTGGTAATCTATTTATAGTTTTAGTCAACAGTACAGGGGCTAGAGATAAAGTTCCCTTGGGGAATTAGAACAACAGAAAACACACTAAGGGTAAGAGTAGCTACCTGCAGAAGTCTCCCACCTTAGAGAGCATTTTTTTAAATTTTTTTTTAATTTTTATTTATTTATGATAGTCACAGAGAGAGAGAGAAAGAGAGAGAGGCAGAGACATAGGCAGAGGAAGAAGCAGGCTCCATGCACCGGGAGCCCGACGTGGGATTCAATCCCGGGTCTCCAGGATCGCGCCCCGGGCCAAAGGCAGGCGCCAAACCGCTGCGCCACCCAGGGATCCCTAGAGAGCATTTTATAACTGTAGATAATGGAAAGTGGTTGTTTCAAAAAGAATCAAAGCATAAAGAGGGCTTAACTGAAATCATACCAAGTTTACCTTGGCATATCCTTGGAACTGAAAAATTTCTAAAAAAGACATTAGCTAAACTCAACACCAAAAAACCCCAAACAATTTGATTAAAAAATGGGCAGAGGAACTGAATAGACATTTTTCCAAGGAAGACATCTAGATGACCAAGAAGCACATGAAAAGATGCTCAACATCACTCAGCATCAGATAAACGCAACTCAAAGCCACAATGAGATATGATCTCACACAAGTCAGGATGGTTAGAGTCAAAGACAAGAAATAACAAGTGTTGGTTAGGATGTGGAGAAAAAGGAACCCTCGTGCGCTGCTGGTGGGAATATAATTTGGTGCAGCTACTTGGAAAACAGTATGGAGGTTCCTTAAAACATTAAAAATAGAACTACTAAATGGATCCAGTAATTCCACTACTGGGTATTTACCCAAAGGAAAGGAGAATACTAATTCAAAAAGATATCTGCACTCCTGTGTTTACTGTAGTATTATTTTTAAGAGTCAAGATATGGAAGCAAGCTACGTGTCCATCAAAACATAAACCGATAAGGAAGATAGAGAGTGTGTATATATATATATATATATATATATATATATATATATGTTACATATATATAATATATACATATGATATAGATAATAGATTATCACGCAACCATAAAAACAATGAGATCTTGCCATTTGCAACAACATGGGTGAACCTAGAGAATATTATGTGAAGTCAAACTGAGAAAGAAAAATACCATATGATTTCACTCATACATGGAATCTAAAAAAGAACAAGTGAGTAAATAAAAAGCAGAATCAGACCTATAAATACAGAGAACAAACCCAACTGATGGTTGCCAGAGGGAAGGGGGTAGGGGGACAGGCAAAATGCATAAAGGAGTATGGGAGAAACAGGCTTCCAGTTACGGAATGAAGAAGTCACAGGAATAAAAGGACAACGTAGGAAATACAGTCAATGATACTGTGATAGTGTGGTATGGTGACAGGTGGTAGCTATAGTTGGTGAGCACAGCATAACGTATAGAGTTGTTAAATCACTAGTTTTACCTAAAATTAATATAACATTGTGTGTCAACTATACTTAAATAAAAAAATTTATATCATTTAAGATATAGTGTGAAGAAATATTATTTTTCATTGAATTTAGAAACATAAGAGTGGTAGGGGCAGAGGGATTGGGGGAGAGAGAATCCTCAAGCAGACTCCCTGCTGAATGTGGAGCCTGACATGGAGCCCAATCCCAGGACCCTGAGATCACAACCTGAGCCAAAACCAAGAGTCAGATGCCTAACTGATGGAGCCACCCAGATGTCCCAGAAATAGTTTTCTTAAATTCATCTATTTCATTAATATTTTGAAGTTTATTTGCATACTTTTTACAAAATGCTTTTTTATTAATTACTGCAATTTCCTCTCTATTTTGTGAAAACAAGTATTTTAAAGTTTTTAAGTGCCAGTTATGTCCCCTGCCTTCCACAATTCATTTGCCTGGCTGCCATCATCTGCAGGTAATAGTCCACATACACATCTTGCCTCAGATAAACAACTAAATTCACAGCACATGACTCCCCCTCCCCCCCACCTGAATTCTCTGTCCTTGAGACTATGTTCTTCTTCCCTCCTTCCCTACCTTTAAAATAGCAATAAAACATGTACAAGTAGTACTATAAGATCATGAAATGCTATTCTATGAAAGACACCCATGCAGTGAAGTACAAATTCTGGATCTCAGGGAGGTTCTCCCCACCACCCCCCCGAAACAGTAACCCCCCCCAAATCTTCACTTCCTAACCCTGAAGCTGTAGTCACCTCAGCCACTGCAGCCTGGCCTCAGCACAGGCAGGTGGTGCTCAATGATGGTGGAGCTGGGGCTGAAGCTACTAGGAGGTTTGACTGCAGCCACAGCTAAGTTAAGGTCCTCTGAATCCATCTTTTCTTCCCCAGGGAGGCCTATTTCCAGGCTGTCTCACCTTACGGACATGACAGGAAAAGAGGACATTCATGTATTTGTCCTTCCGTTTCAGTTCATTTGCAACGGGGACGAAAGTGCCTGAAGTCTGAGGTGTATCTGGCTTCTGAAAGAAAAAGGAAACATGATAAAATGATTCTGCTTAGCATTTTAGATGAAAAGGCAATCTTTTAGTAGCCTGCTTTACAACCACACTCAGACGGTTTCACACACATACTTTTACCTCCTATCCCAGATGGTGGGCTGCTGCAGGGGTGTTATACCACCAAAGGGCCTATCAAATTTTTAAAATAAGGAATGGGAGAGAGGATGAAATGCAGCTTTGGGAATAATTAATATAAAGGTGGTAATTAAAAATAGCTGTTGAATTATGCAAGGGAAGGTTCAAATGCGCAAAAATTAGGTTTTGGAGTGTGTACCTAATACATATGGCACAGAGCGACAGACAAGCCTTTTTTAAAGCAGGGGAAACATCAAACATTGCACAGCTAGAAGCCAAAAAAATCTTTTAGTTTAGTATCGCTCATGAAAGTTTTGTTTCTGTAGTTGTCTCATTCTTTCCACAAATTTCTGGGGAAAAAGTCTTTTCTTTCTTTGTAAAGGGAGCAGGAGTAGATTCCACTTTGTTCTCCTCCACCTACCGAAGCAAGATAGTTGCCTTCCCAGGCTCTCTGGAGCCCAAGGTCAGCCCTTTGACCTTTCAACATTTCCATGGCTGCAACCTTTGCCCTGACCTGGGGCAGGTCAGAAGCGGGCAAGGTCTTGATGAGCTGGGATGCTCTCCATCTGCAAGAGAATAAATGAAATGTATTAAGATTTAGAAACCCAATCCCATTCATGTCCCCAAATAACTGAGCTGTCATTAAGCAGAATTTAAACCATTTACATGCTACCCCAACTCCCCCACCCCAAAGGTCTCCAAGATATACACAGAACTTGTTAAAATATACAAAGATTTTTGTGTAACTTGCTTTGTCATTTGTGTTTTGAAAGTGACTAGAACTCTGTGGTACATGGGTTCTCATAACATTTACAGTCAGGGCACAGAAAGTTTAGATTAATCCTTCCTTCATCCAACACTAAGGCAATCCTCGAGCACTCTCGAGGCACTTACTAAACTCCAGGTGCTGTTCTAGGTGGTGGAAGCCCAGCAGTAAACAAATGGATAAAGGTCCCTTCTGCTAGGTGCTTACATTCCAGAAGCGGGGACAGACAACAAACCAAGTGTGAGTGATGTGCTAAGTGCTATGAAGAAATTCAGGCAAGGAAAGGACAGGAGCCCAGTGGCAGGCAGGAACAGGGGGCGGGTGTTACTTATACAGGGAAGTCTGTGGGGCACCACTGATCAGAATAGATGAGCAAAGACCTTCAGAAGTGAGGGTGGGTACAGGGATATTTGGGCAATAGCATCCTCTCCAGGAGGAGAGCACAGCAGGGCAAAGGCTCTAAAGCATATACTTGCTAGGCAGGTTGGAGGACCAGTAAGGAGCCCTGAGGAGTGCAGGAGGGCAGGCACAGGGGGCGGGTGTGGGCAGAGGAGGGGAGGCCAGAGGGCAACCCAGGGACAGATCCACAGAGCACAGAGGCCACTGTCAGGTCTCTGGCCTTCACTCTGGATGAGACTCAATGCCACTGGGAGGTTCTGAACAAGGAAGGGACACATCCTGACTCCTGCTTTACAGAATCATTGCTCTGTTGGAAGAAGGCTACCGTGGCTCTTTCCATACGGCACATGGGAGAGGTCAGTGGCTGGGATCAGGGAGGAAGTGGTGGAGGCAGAGACAGCTGTTGGTCCTGGATGTATTTTGAAGGACACGCCAGTAGATCTGCTGATGGATCAGACACGGGAGCAAGAGAATAGGGGGGATTTAAAGACGACCCCAAGACTGCTCGGTCCAAGTAACTGAAAGCATAAACTGGAAGCAGTCTATTCCTGATTGAGCAAAACAAGCACGAGGCTTTTATTCTGTTAGGGCTATCCTAGCCTCACATGCACTTATGTCCTCCTTTCTGCTGCAGGAGGTTGCAGCAGGGGTTGGAAACAAACCCACAATTTCTCTATGTCAGATGAAATAATCGAGGCTGGCGGTCCTCTAGCTATCTTCCCCAGGACGCAAGGAAGAGATGCACCTGACACTGAGAGGTGGTGCTCTTTCCCCGATGTATGTACATAGAACGTCAGATCACTTCCATCTTATATTTTCCTGAGATGTATTCTGGCTTCAAAGGACTGGAGCTCAAAGGTTTGTTTTTCTCTCTTACATTCCGACTGAAATAACCAAATAAATATACAAATAAGGAAAAGCTCTGTAAGCAGCCCTGAAGAATAGGAACGATGTTGGTGAACTGAGAGACAGGAAGACCTTGTTGGAGACCTGAAGTAGACTGGACCGAGCCACTGATGAAGTGGCTCAGTGCCAAGCAGTCCACCTGGTGGAAGGAGAGGAGCCCCTTCGGCAGAAATGGCCTGGAGAATCGTTGGGCCTGAGCAGCTGGGGCTGGTGGCCAGGGCAGGTGGTGAAGGATCTCACAGAGGAAGAAGTGCCAGCTCTCTGCACAAAGAATGGTTGCCCATGGTGAGATGGGGACCCCTGTTGTAGCAGACAGCATAGGAGGTAGTAGGATTCAAAAACACAATAGCGTGTAATAAGTAAAGGCTCAGATTAATGGTGGAACCCTCCTCTCTGCTTTCTATGGCCAACTGACAACACAATGGGACAGATTATATTAAGGTCATTCCAGAAGACGCTGAAAGAATGACAGGATAGGAGCAGTTGGTGGTCACAGTCAAGGTCACTGGTGACAGGCACATCCTACAACACTATGTGGCTTGCTGAGCAGCTGCCCCAAATTAGCCCTTGGGTCGCAAATTTTATTCCTGGGGTGGGAGGGAGCAGTCTTTTCTCTGTCTGCTGGTCTGTTTTCAGCCTGAGTGCCCAGTCCATCTGCTCCTTCTTTACACCCACTGTGGCCCAGGATGAGGTCCATATCTGACTGACTCCAGGGCACAGAGGCACACAGGACATCTGGGACTTGACCTATATAACCATGGACAGCACCACACAGGCTTCTCACTCTGATCAAGGAAACTGCCATCTACAAAGGTCCATAGTCCCCAACATTTTTATGGTGGCATAAAAATCACCAGCCTCAACAATATGATAAGGAGGACAAAGCTGAGTATGAGTAAGGCTCCCAGGCTCCTGAGAATGAAAAAGAATTACTGTGAGGAACAGGAGTGAGCTTAACCATGATTAGCCACACATTGAGATTTTAGAAAAAAACAAACAAACCCCCCAAAAAACAAAAGCCAACAACCACAGCAGGGTCTTTTAACACATTTCTCTCAGTAGTCCACAGATCAAAAAAGTTAAGAATAAATTAAGCAGGATACAGTGACAAATCAGGGGTTGGTAAACCACAGTCTGTGCCAAATTCAGCCCATGGCCTGGTTTTGTGCTGCTCACAAGCTAAGAATAGTTTTTTTTTTACATGTTTGACAAAACCAGAGCAAAACAAAGTATGTGACAAAGACCATATGTAGCCCATAAAGCCTATGATACTTATCACCTGGCTCATAACAGAAAAAGTTTGCCTTTGGATGAGATTAACACAACTGGCAGGATTCATTCAGAGTGCGTGTGCTTGTTGCGCGTGTGGGCATCCACACGTGTCTGCAAAGTCAGCAAACAGAGCCAATGCATGATTTTCAAAATGCTCATTAACTCAAAGCCCCGAGAAGGCTGTTTGGGACTGTCTTATATCTTTCTTGTTTGTCACCATATCCCTGGAATCTAGGACAGTGCCCATGACATAGTTGGCCTTGAGTAAATATTTGCTGAATAAATTAAATTTTGCAAAAATTAATGAATTCTAGGCTATATATAAAACCATCACAATCTAAAAAGAAGACTGTATAAGCCACAATGCAACACAAAATCAATAGTTCTTTGTGGCCATTAAAAATACCACATAGATCTTTCTTTATAGACATGGATTTTTAAGTAATCCTATTAACCATGCTTGTGTAAAAAAAAAAAAAAAAGGGAAAAAAAGTCCAGATACGTGACTGTGTATGCATGCATACTCTTAGTATGAGCAAACATTTCTACAGTGTTTATTATGTGTCAGGCACTATCTGAAATGCTTTGTGTGTGTGTGTGTGTGTGTGCATTATTTTACTCATAATCTTTTCAAGAACCCTATGAGCAGGTACTACTATTATGGCACTTTTGTAGATATGGTAACTGAGGCACAGACAGATTATCTAATTTGCCCAAGATTATACAACTAGGCAGCAGCAGAGATTAGAATATAAGCCCCAGCTCCAGGATTTGTGTTCTTAACCACTATATCATGCTGTCTCTTATATGTGGGTGTGTGCTTGTAAATGCACAGACACAGACATAGAAGGATACAAACTAATTGTTAAGAGTGATTATCTTAGGGGAAGGGTATAAAATGGGGGAGAGGAGGGAGTGTGGAGGATTTCAGTTTTATATCCTATATATTTCTACATTAATTCTCTTTTAAAAAAACAGTACACATGTATTTATGCATAGCTTAATTACTTTTTAAGTTAACATTCAGGTTACAGACACCATTCATGAAAAACACTTACTTGTGCATTAAAAGCCTGTCAGGATTTACAACAAACATTTATAGTATTAGATCTGAAAACTGAGGTAATTTTGCTTTCAATAATTCTTCATTGTTTGAGTTTTTCTTTTTATGAGATACCATTTCTTTTCTTTCTTTTTTTTTTTTTTACAAAAAGCAAATGGGATACATAGTAAAGAATTTTCTTCCTATGCATTTTTCTTTACCTTTTGATATTTGCCACCAACTATACAGAGCTAACTCTAAAGGAAGATAAAATCTGATTTAGCACAGAATTATAAATTAGTTCTTTTACATTCAGTATGCCAATTATTTCATAGTGTTCTTTGTGAAATACCACAATGCCAAATGACCACATCTGAGAACCATTAGCTTACTTTATGTGACTAGATGGCTGTATCTAAGACACAGCTGAATTAATCTGGTGCACACTGGTATCAAACAAGTGTGAATAATAAGAGTTAAGAGGCCGTGAATAACTACAAACTCAGACTCATCGGGGCAGTTTATAAAAAATGAAGAGTAGCTGGAAACATACCAGATTTTAAATGGGCATTTATTTATTTATGTAAAAATAAATGGTTGCTCTAAAACTATTTCCCCCCTTACACTTTAGAATCATCTAGGGGGCGCCTGGATGGCATAGTCTGTTAAGCATCCGACTCTTGGTTTTGGTTTCAGGTTGTGATCTTGGGGTCATGAGATGGAGCGCTACGCTGTGGAGTCTGCTTGAGATTCTCTCCCCCTTTCCCTTTCCCCCTCCTGCTCATGCTCTCTATTTCTCTCTCCTTCTCTCTAAAATAAATAAATCCTTAAAAAAAAATCATGCGGGAAACTTTAGGAAGGACCTTTGTTTGGGCTCCACTCCCCAGTTCTGTTAAATAGGACTTTCTGGAGACTTGGGCTTTGGTATGTTTAATAAACTCCTTGGTATATTTCATAACCAGGATAGAAAAGCATTGTGAGAAAGACTCACAGACTTTCCAGTTTGAGTTACGTGTGGGGATTTTAATAAATAGTTATTTTTTGCTAATAAAAGAAAGAGACAGCATGCTAATAGCTTATCTTAACTATGTCATGATCCAGGGTTTGTGGCACACTGCTGTCAAGTGCTAAAGGAAGAATAAATGCACAGTTCTATTGTTTTGAGAAGTAAACAGATGTGTTTTGAGAGTGAAATTTATAGACCTGGAGCCACGAGGTAAAGGCGTAGTGGCAAACAGCTAAGCCAGTATCATGGCCTCAGACTTGTGACTTTATACATTAAGTGTGCTACCAGAAACAGATGCAGCACATACCAACTGGCTCTTTCTTACCTATTAAAAATTGTCTGCAAGGCCTCCTCAAAACGGCGAAGAACTTTAGGTGGGGTTGGCCACTTCACGTGCTTCCCGTGGTCCTTCATGGTCTTGACACCATGGAAGCGTCTGGCAACCTCCTGAATGTAGGATTTCATCTTGTAATGCCGGTAGTATCTGATAATTGTCAGAGCTGCTTTGGTTCTCTTGTACCGCATGCGGGCCAGGGTGCCTCGCCACACCTTCACAATAGAGAAGGAAAAAGACAAGTGTTGCTTGCTGGCTGAGTCAATGGTATGGGACTTTTAAATTAATTGTATAAGATCCTCCACTTATAAACTCTGAGCGGGGTGATGGGGTGAGGGGGTGTAGGGGTAGTTTGGGATCTTGTCTATGGTCAACAAAATCAGATTGGATTCTGCATGCCACCAACAGATGGCGCCAGGAGTCACGCTGGTCATTTTACTTCAGCTGTCTAGCTGCTCCTGATGCACACTGGGGTGTGTGCTGACTCAGAAGCAGAGTCATGTTTTAACTTTATGGTCATGAGGAGAAGAAAGCCAAAATGCAAATGTCCCTGGAGAAATATTTTAAGTATGTTGAAAGGAAGCAAGATGAGTCAGAACCAAAAGCCATCAATATCTACAGTTCTCTAATGAAACCTGGCTTTATACAATTATATCACTGGCTGCTAGTGTACCATCATGTTGGATTTACAAACCGATTATACACAGTCTGTGCAGCCCTGCTCTCCAGGTGCTATGTAAATTCCCCCCAAAATTAGATGTAATCTTGGGGAAAGGGTAAAACAGATGACTAATAGTATATGAATCTTTAAATTTTTTTCAGTGCTCAGAAATCAATCAGACAATATATAAATGTCTCTGCGCCAGCTTTACCCAAGCATGGTGAAGTCAGAGATACTTATACTCTTCCTTCAGGATCCTTTGCCCAGATTCCTGTATTTTTCAATCTCTCAAGTAAAAAGAGATTTGGCATAATCTTCACTTCATTATTGGCTCTTCCCCTATATGAGTCCTCCACCACCAAAACTTAATCTTTCTTCGACAATATTTCCAGCATAAACCCCTTTCTCTTCCTTATTGCTACTAAAATCTCCAAGATCCCAAACTACTTGCACTGCTTTCTCCAACAGACCCCTTGTACACAGTGCCATGGTTCCAGTTGATATTTACTGCTGCCACTTAGATAACCAGCCCAATTCTTAGGTTGTCGGTATTAACTTCCCTCCCTGTCTCTGGCCTCCCAGGACCAAGATTTTCCACCTCTAGTTCAAAGCCCACAGTATGGGTCCTCCAGAGTCCCTCAGGGTTCTTGTACTTTCTCTTAAATCCCCACCTGTGCCCACCAATTTCTCAGAAAAACTGGTGCAATGCCTCTTTTATGCGCTCATTTTAATTAATTAATTAATTAATCAATTAATTAATTTACTCATTTTAGATGTTTCTTGATGCAGACTCCTAAATCGGCATCACATGCTTTTTTCAACCTGCTGCACAATGAAGATAGATTTGTTTGTATGGGATACATGAGATCATCACCTAGGGACCCCAAAGAGGAACTAATGAGTCAAGGAAAACTATGATATGTGAGGGGAAACGTGACATATGAGCAATTTGTGATGGGAACCTAGAGCTCACGTACAAACAGAATATATAAAGACCATGAGGCAATGAAAACTTGTTTCTGCATGTGGCGTCAGTACAGAAACCCTTTTTAGCCAAAATGGCTCTCTTCCCTGTCGCCAAATCCATCATGCAGATGGCTTTGTTACGCCTCCACCCAAGTGCTAAAATAAAGGTCCCTTCTTTAGCATCTTGAAAAACCAAAAGAATACAATTACAGGGTGGAAGTCTGTGATTCAATTTCTTAAACAGAACACATTTTTCAAGTTTCATACTGTTTGTTGCTTTTCTACTTTTTTAAGAGGAAGGAGATTAAGACTCCCTGGAGCCACACCTGTATAGAAAATCAATCCTTAATTTTAAAGGAGTGTTCACAGAATTTCTTATTAAAATGGTGTTGGTTTAATTTTTCAGTAATTTTGGGGAAAAAGCATAAGTAAGGGGCAGGTTTTTAGGGTTAACATTTTTTTAAAATGTGTATTTATTTGAGAGAGAGCGAGAGAGAGTGCACATGCACGTGGGCAGGGGTAGAGAAGGGCAGAGGGAGAGGAAGAGAATCTCAAGCAGACTCCCTGTTGAACACAGAGCCCAATGTGGGCTTGATTTCACAACCCTGAGATCATGACCTGAGCCAAATGAAGAGTCCAATGCTCAACCGACTGATTCACCCAGATGCCCTTATGTGTAGATTAAAAAAAACAAAACAAAACAACTTTATTTTGGAGGGGGAGAGAGAAAGAAAGAATGAAAGAGAGAGAGAGAGAGAGAGAGAGAGAGAGAGAGTATGAGCAGAGAGAGGGACAGAGGGAGAGGGAGACAAAGACTCCCCATTGAGTAGGGAGCTCGAATTGGGGTTTGATGTCATGACCCTGAAATCATGACCTGAGCCAAAATCAAGAGTTGGATGCTTAACTGACTGAGCCACCCCAGTGCCTCTGAATAGGCAGATTTTTTTTTCTCAGTCACGTGTCCATGTGTCCTGGACTCTTTTTTTAAAAAGACTTATTTATCTGTTTGATAGGGAATAGGGAAGGGGCAGAGGGAGAGAGAGAATCTCAAGCAGACCCTGTGCTGAGCACAGAGCCTGATGTGGGGCTTGATCTCATGACCCTGAGATCATAACCTGAGCTGAAATCACGGGTCAGACACTTAACCAACTAAGCTGGGGCTTTAGGTAGCTACCATCATGCTCCCTCCTTAATAGTAAAGAAATGCACCAGAAGTTTGCTTCACTGAGTCTGGGGTGCCTTGTATTCTTTGGGCTTGGTTGAGGACAGATATTCTTTTTTCCATACCTTGTGGAGCTTTTTCTTGATTCGGCTTTAATATTATTCCTTGCAGATGCATCCCCTACTCCTTGCCCACTTATTGGTATATCAGAGGCAGGAGACATGCTAAACATTCTTGACTCTTCTTGCCTGAAGGAAAATGTCTTTTTTTTTAATTAATTAATTAATTAATTAATTTATGATAGTCACAGCGAGAGAGAGAGAGGCAGAGACACAGGCAGAGGGAGAAGCAGGCTCCATGCATCGGGAGCCCGACGTGGGATTCGATCCCGGGTCGCCAGGAGCGTGCCCTGGGCCAAAGGCAGGCGCCAAACCGCTGCGCCACCCAGGGATCCCGGAAAATGTCTTCTTAATGGAAGGGTCCCCAGGGGAGGTATGGGGTATTCTAGGCCTTCCTTCTGGCATACATTTATAGTTAACGCCAACTCCATCAAAAGCAATGAGACTTTTCAGAATTCCCTCCTTGTAAATTCTCCATGTTCCATTCTTCTCCTTGAAGAATATATTGATTTTTTTAGCACCTTCGTTCAATTTGGTCCAATTTTTCTTTTTCTGGGTGACACTTCTCAGTTTACAGTATGAAGCTGGGATTTTTTTTTTTCTCGTTTCAGGCTTCGTGGCATGTTCTCGGTTATATTTACATTTTTGTTAATTTCAGCAAATTTGGGGGAAAGGAATTTTTGTGAGCCTGCGGTTACATTGTCAGCTTTGTCAGAAGTCCCTTAGGCTTTACTTTAACAAAAAGTAGCACTGAAGAATTACAGAGAAAAATGACTGCATGCAAAAAATTATTCATGTATTTTTCCTTAGAATCTAAGCATATTTGGTTTAAACAGATATGCTCCCACAAGTTGGTGAGTCTGTGTAGGGGAGGGTTGTTGATTTTCCCACCAAAGATCTGCAAGTTGAAATTTAAGGTATAAGACAGATTTTTCCACTTCCCTCTTTGTTTAAACTGGCTTAGTTGGGGTTTTCAAGAATCATATAAAGTGTCTGCAGAGGAATCTGCCTGATGATAGGATGTCAGACAACAGAAAATTAAATGTTATATTCAACAGCAAATGTTTAATACTTATATGCATATGTCAGAGAGGCTCAACAAAAATAAAGAAGCCAAAGGCCCTTGTTAAAACAATATTAACTTTAAAAGAGGAACCAACCTATGTGTTTTAGGATATGATGCAAGAGAGTGGAAGTTGAAGGCTGAAGGTGACACAATGGGATCTGGGAGGGAAAGTTAAGCAGAAGCTATAAAGCAGGTGTCAGACTGACAGAGAGGGCCTGTAAGTCTTTTCTCAGATAGAAGAGAGAACAGAGGCAAACAGAGAGGCCAGCTCAGGGGGACCAGCCGAGGTACAGAGAAAGACCATTCAAGAATAGTGTGTACAGGGGATCCCTGGGTGGCGCAGCGGTTTGGCGCCTGCCTTTGGCCCAGGGCGTGATCCTGGAGACCCGGGATTGAATCCCACATCGGGCTCCTGGTGCATGGAGCCTGCTTCTCCCTCTGCCTGTGTCTCTGCCTCTCTCTCTTTCTCTCTCTGTGACTATCATAAAAAAAGAATTTATAAAAAAAAAAGAATAGTGTATACACCCTTGCTGTTGAGACAGTCCAATTCCTCTCTTGTGTACCTTTACCCCCTGTAGTCAATTCTAACACAGCAGTCAGAGTGATCCTTTGAGGGCCAAAATCAGATCATGACACTTTTCTTCCTGAAACTTTGCCACCACTCTCCATTTCCCTGAGTGACCCCCAGACCCCTCGCACTAACCTACATGGGCCCAAGTTCTCTGGGGCAGTTACCTCCCTCCCCTACTCCCTTTGCCTAGAATGATCTCCCTCCAGATATTGCATGGCCAACTTCTTCACTTTCTCTCTGTGTCCCTGCTCAGTGGTCATCTTCCCAATGAGACTGGCCCTGACCATCCCATTTAAAATTCAACTTGTCTCCCTACCTGGCACTGTCTGTTTTCCTTACCAGGCTCTGTCTTTTCTCTTGCCTCTAGCATTTGACACTACAATACAGCATGTAACTCACATGTTACTGTGTTGGTTACCCTCTCCTCCCACTGGCATTTCAGCTCCACCAGGCCAAGGGCTCTTTGTCTCTTTTACTCACTGATGAAACTCCACTGACTAGAACAATGCTCAGAATATAGTGGCCACTACAGAGTATCTGCTGAATAGAATGAATGTTTTCACCTTCATCTTTCAAGCCTGATACTAAATCTTTCATTGTGGCTGTCATGTTTTCCATTTTCAAGACTCATCCTTGTTCTCTAAATTTTTCTTTTCTTTATTTAAAAGAT